CTATTTCTCATTTGATCAGAACTTTTCTTTTAATCCAGAGTTGGGTGAAAAGCATCTCATTTCTTTTCCTTCTTCTTTGTTTACAATATAGTCCATCATCATGAATCCCTTTGGAGATTATTGAATTCATCTTACTGGCTCAGAGCTCTTGCGGTTTTAGAACCCATATTTTAGAAATCAGGCTAGCATCTGCTTCCTTTGGTGTGTTCCCATTCTGAGATCGTATAAGCTTTTTTTTAAAAATTTATTTCTTCCCAATTGCATGGAAAACAATTTTTACCACCAGTTTTTTTTTTTAAATTTTGAGTTCCAAATTGTCTCCCTCCCTCCTCTCCACCTTCATTAAGATGATAAGCAGTTTGATATAGGTTATTCAGATGTAGTCATATAAAACATATTTCCATATTAGTCATGTGGTGAAAGAAAGCACAGACCAAAAAAAAAAAGTAAAAAAAGTAAAAAATAGTATGCTTCAATCTGCATTCAGACTCTATCAGTTCTCTCTCTGGAGGTGGATAGCATCTTTCATCATGAGTCCTTCAGAATTTTCTTGGATCATTGTGTTGCTGAGAATAGCTAGGTCATTCACAGTGGATTCTCATATAGTATTTTTGTTACCGGGTATAATGTTTTCCTTATTTCTTTTTGCATCAGTTCATATAAGTCTTTCCAAAATTTTCTGAAATCATCCTGTTCATCATTTCTTATAGCACAATAGTTTTCTATTACAAGCATATGCCACCACTTCTTTAGCCAGTCCTCAATTAATGGTCATCCTTTTAATTTCTAATTCTTTGTTACCACAAAAAGAGCTATTAAAAACATTTTTATACAAATAGGTCCTTCCCCCCACCCCCTTTTTTATCCTTTTGGGATAGAGACCTAGTAGCAGTATTGCTGGTTCAAAGGGAAAGAACAGTTTTATAGCCCTTTGGTCATAGTTCCAAATTGCTATTCGGAATGGTTGAATCAGTTCAACAACTCCACCAACAATGTATTAGTACCTAAATTTCCCCACATCTCCTCCAACATTTATTATTTTACTTTTCTGTCATATTAGCCAATCTGATGGGTGTAAGGTGGTAACCTCAGTGTTGTTTTAACTTGCATTTCTCTAATCAAATAGTGATTTAAAGCATTTTTATGTGACTATAGATAGCTTTGATTCCTTTGTCAGAAAACTGCCTATTCATATCTTTTGCCCATTTATCAACTGGGGAATGACTTATGTTCTTATAAATTTGACTCAGTTCTCCAAATATTTGAAAAATGAGGCCTTCATCAGTGATACTTGCCTGAAAATCCTCCCCCTGCCCGCCGCTTTCTGTTTTCCTTCAACTTTTTTTTTTTTTGGTGAGGCAATCAGGGTTAAGTGACTTGCCATGGATCACAGAGCTAGTGAATATCATGTGACTGAGGCCAGATCTGAACTCAGGTCCTCCTCACCCCAGGACCGGTGCTCTATCTACTGTTCCACCTAGCTGCCTCCAGAAACTTTTTAATTTAACATAATCAATATCCATTTTATATCACATTATTCTCTATCTCTAGTTTGGTCACAAATTCTTCCCTTATCCATAGATCTGTCAAGTTAACTATTCCATGCTCCCCTAGTTTACTTATGGTATCACTCTTTATTTCGCAATCATGTACCCATTTTGACCTTATCTTGATTTTACAGTGTAAGATATTGGTTTATATCTAGTTTTTGCCATACTATTTTCCTGTTTTGCCAACAGTTTTTGTCAAAGTTCTTGTCCCAAAAGCTTAGATCATCAAACACTAGATTACTATGTTTATTTACTACTGTGTATTGTGTACCTAATCTATTCCACTGATCCACCATTCTATTTCTCAGCCAGTACCAGATTGTTTTTGATGATTACCACTTTATAATATATTTTGAGATCTGATATGGCTAGGTTAACTTCCTCCATATTTTTTTCATTAATTCCTCTGATATTCTGGACCTTTTTTCTTCCAGATGAATTTTGTTATTTTTCTCTAGTTCTGTAAAATATTTTTGGTATTTTGATTGGTATGGCACTAAATAAGTAAATTAATATAGATAGATTTGTCATTTTTTATTATATTGACTCAGCTTTCCCTTGAGCAATTACTATTTTTCCAGTTTTTTAGATCTGACTTTATTTGTGTGAAAAAGTGTTCTGTTAATTGTGTCCATAGAGTTCCTGGTTTTATCTTGGCAAATAGACTCTCAAGTGTTTTATATTGTCTACAGTTATTTTAAGTGGAATTTCTGTATCTCTTTTTGCTAAGCTTTGTTGGTAATACAGAAATGCTGATGATTTCTGTGGGTTTATATCTTACAACTTTTATAAAATTGTTCATTATTTCAATTAGTTTTTTAGTTGATTCTCTAGAATTATCTGAGTATACCATTGTATCATCTGCAAAAAGTGATAGTTTTGTTTTCTCATTGCTTATTCTAGTTCTTTGAATTTCTTTTTCTTCTCTTATATAACTATATGCTATAACTAGCATGTCTAGAATGATATTGAATAATGGGCTCCTTTGCTTCACCCCTGACCTGACTGGGAAGGCTTCTAGCTTGTCTTCCTTACAGGTAATGCTTGCTGATAGGTTTAGATAGATACCACTTATCATTTTAAGGAAAGCTCCATTTATTCCTATCCTTTTTTTGGGGGGGGTGGCTAGGCAATGGGGTTAAGTGACTTGCCTAGGGTCACACAGCTAGTGAGTGTTATGTGTCTGAGGCTGTATTTGAACTCAGGTCCTCCTGAATCTGGGGCCAGTGTTCTATCCACTGCACCCCCTAGCTATCCCTCTTTTTTTTTTTTAAATAAGAATGGATGCTGTATTTTGGCAAAGGCTTCTTCTGCATCTATTGAGATAATAATATTTTCTCTGTAGGTTTTGTTTTGATATGGTCAATTATACCCAGCATTCCTAATATTGAACCAGCCCTGCATTCCTGGTATAAATTGCACCTGGTCATAGTGTGTAATCCTTGCTGTAATCTCCTTGCAAGCATTTTATTTAAATTTTTTTTTTTGCATCAATATTCATTAGAGAAATTGGTCTATAATTTTCTTTCTCTGTTTTGGCTCTGGCTGGTTTAGGTATCAGCACCATATTTGTGTCTTAAAAGGAATTTGGTAGAACTCATTCATTGACTATTTTTCCAAACAGTTTATATAGTATTGGAATTAATTGTTCTTTAAATGTTTGGTAGAATCCATCTTGCCTTGGGGATGGGATCCTATAAATTTTAAGTCCTGTTTGCATTGTAAAGAAAAACAATTTTGGAAGACTTACAAACTGATCAATGCAGTGATCAATTATGACCAATTAAGGACCAATGATGAAGTATCTGGCCAGCCTTCTGACAAAGAAATGATGCACTCAAGATGCAGCATTAGACATATATTTTTGAACATGGCCAATGTTTGACTTTGTCTTTTTTGACAGTTTATTTATTATATGTTTTAAAAAAATTTTTGATGGGAGGGAGAGAAAATAAATGCTCATTAACTGAAACAAACAAACAAACCAACCCAGCTTTAGACCCTGTTTAACTAAAGCTCATGTTGGCTTCTGCTTCCACACATGGAGCCCTTTGCTATGCTCCTGTAGGCTTGCCTTCTTGTGTTCTTGTGTAATGTTTGTTTGGATGGAGGGATGGAGGAGCTTCCTGGTATTTCTCTTTGGCTTTCTTGATCATTATTCAATCTAGTGCCCTCTTAGATCCTAGCTAGGGTTTTTGTGGGAGAACTGGTCTCCTTCAGTACCTTTCATGTCATTTGTTATTAAAGTTCTTTCTCTTGGTTTATGTTTTATTTTTATTTATCTATGCACATGTGGTACCCTCCAAATAGAATGCAAACTTCTTGAAGGCAGGGATGATTTTTTTTTTACCCCCACCACTTACCACCATGCCCTAAAACTTAGTAAGTACTTAGTAAAGGCTTTTAAATTGAATTGGAACTTTCCTATTATGTAAGATGAAGATGAAAATTCTTGATTTTGGGGGGGCATAATTTACTATCAGATTAGAGAGGATTGGTCTGTGAGAAAATATAGAAAGAGAACTTAGAAAACTGCTTTTTGGTACATTTGAACAAATGAACTCATCACACAAACCAGATATATTCTGAAAAGTAATCATTTTATTCACTTTTCAAGGGTGAAGTCCAACGTTTGAAGAGTGCTCTAAACTCCACTGAGAAATGGAAATTATTGGTTTAAAAATGAAATATTTCTATTTGTTATAGTTATTATAATAACTCAAGGCTAGCATACCATACGTATCGTTAGATTACTGAGTCAAAATAAAAGTTATGAAAGTATTTTTTAAGCTTAATCTTGTTCATATAGATGTAAAATTGGAAACTTTGCAACTTATGTCTTTTTCACAAAGCCCTTTAAAAAAACCTAGTTAATGGGCAAGTTATGTGACTTTTTGCTTTGTGTATGAAACCACATGTCCCTAGTTTCTTTTGGCCTTTTTGTTCTTGCCATATTTGGCATCTGCTATTTTGTCTTTTAACCAAAGCAGCTAGTTGATTTCTTTCTTTCTTTAATATGACCATAGTGTGACCTTAGGAAATAGAAATTTCTATCTGTAAAAAAGCCCACCAGAGCTTTAATATTTCTTTTGATTAAAAGTGCTGCTTGGAATAGCAGAGGTGGTGAGAAATCTATTGTTAATGTTAAATGATTCTAAAATCATGTGTCCCCATGATACTTTAGTTCTTATGATGATTTATGCTTTAAGAATCAAATCTGGTTTATGCCTATACAAGGATCGCATTTCATCTTCCCTTCTAAACACTCTAAGCTTCCGAAAATTCATTTCTTATAACTTTTAAGGTGAGTTGAAATGTAAAATATAAAAATGTGAAATGTGGTTTGAACACAGTCCCCTGTTAATCTGACTCTTAGCTGGGAATATGTTAATTTTCTTTTGCATTGGTAATTAATTCATTGTTCTTCCTTTTTCTTTTTCTTTTTTTTAGATCCCATTTTACTCTACCCAAATTCTTCAGTTCTAGGTCCAAGGACAGCTGCTTTACTGAAAAGACTCCTTTGTTGAAGACTTCTTCAGAAGAAAATGGGTGAGGATTTTCTCTGCATAATTAAGATTCTTGAGCATAACTTCATGTTAGTTCTCACTTGAATTCATTAACATTTACTAAGTACCTACTGTGTGCTACAGGAACTATGCTAGAGACAGTGGGAACATAAATGAGAGTCCCTTCTCTCAACAAGCTAACATTCTACTGTGAGGCTGTAACATATACATACATATAAGGTATATACAAAGTAATTTTTGAGAAGCAGCAGTGACTGGCACATAGTAGGCACTTCATATATATTGACTGACTAGTTGTAGAATAAATGTTGGAGTCAGAAAGACCAGAGTGGAAGTCATGTCTGTGACACAGTACTGTATGACCCCGGGAAAGTCCTTAAACCTCTCAATGTCCCTGCGTGACTAAATTATTAAGTAGCCAAGGAGTTGGAGAGGAGGTACTGCTCTACATCCACACTCATGAAATCACAGGTCCAGGTCCTAATGCCCTTCTCCCTATCTCCCCAAACAAAGACAGCATAATTTTCAAAAGGAAGAGACCACTAGAAAGAGCACTAGAATTAAGAGACCTAAGACCTAGGTTCTCATCTGTTGGTTATTTTACTATGACTTCGGGCAAGTTGCTTATCTGGGTCTCCATTATCTCTTAAATGAAGGGAGTGAACCCCAAGGCCACAAACATTCTTGCCATCTTTAACTCCATAATCTCATCAGGTAGCTAAGTGACTGTGATAGAGTGCTAGGCTTGGAGTCAGGAAGACAAGGTCAAATCCAGCCTGTGATGTTTACTAGCTATGTGACCCTGGGCAAGTCACTCTACCCCTGTTGACCTCAGTTTCCTCATCTGAGAAATGGGGACAATAATCACACCTACTCCCCTGCCTCTCCAGGAGTTTTGTGAGGATCAAATGAGATAATAATTGTAAAGTGCTTAGCACAATGCCTAGCACAGAGGAAGCACTATAAAATTTAGTTATTACATTGACGAGCAGGCAGATTTCAGAAAAACCTGGAAAGACTTGCATAAACTGATGCTGAGCGAAGTGAGCAGAACCAGAACATTGTACACAGCAACAGCGACATTGTGTGATGATTAACTGTGATAGCCTTAGCTCTTCTCAGCAATACAGTGATCCAAGATAATTCCAAAAGACTCTGGGAAACACTAATCACATCCAGAGAAAGAACTATGGAGTCTGGATGCAGATCAAAGCTTATCATTTTCTCTTTTATATTTTGTGTTTTTCTTTCTTGTGGTTTTCCCCTTTTGTTCTGATTCTTCTTTCACAACATAACTAATGTAGAAATATGTTTAACATGATTGTACATGTATAACCTATATCAGATTGCTTTCCATTCTTGGGGAGGGGGGAGGGAAGGGAGGGAGAAAAATCTAAAAATCAAAATTTTACAAAAACGAGTGTTGAAAACTTTTTACATGAATTGGAAAAAATAAGATATTAAGGGAAAAAATATAAAAAATAAATTGGTAAGTATGAAGATATATTAAAAATAAAATAAAGTTTAGTTATTATTATTATTAGTATCATACTCACGAATACTACTTCACTTCCTAATTCCCTCTGAAACTTTTGAATTAGAGCAGGAGTTCTTAACTCGAGGTACACAGGCCCCCCCAAAGGGGAGAAGATTTCAGGGGTCTCACCTCTAACTGAAATTTATAACTTCTTTCAATTATTTGAAAAATTATTCTGTCCAATCCATCTGTTTCACCAGATTGCCAAGTGGCCCATAACACCAGAAAGGTTAAAAATCCCTGCCTTAGAGTCAGAACCTTTTCAGGGCATATTCACAGAATTGATGTATTTCAAGGTCTCTATGCAGCTCGCTATTAAAATCTTTTGCAGTCTACTTCTCATTTAGCAGTGGTTTCCTTTTTTTTTTTTTTTTTGGCAATTGGGGTTAAGTGACTCGCCCAAGGTCACACAGCTAGTAAGTGTCAAGTGTTGGGTCTGAGGTCGCATTTGAACTCAGGTCCTCCTGACGTCAGGGCCAGTGCTTTATCCACTGTGCCACCTAGCTGCCCCAGCAGTGATTTCCTTCTACCACAGCTACAAAAGTAACATTTGCTTTCTTAGTGAATTAGTTGCCATTCCATCTAGCTCCACATTGCCTAGCTTTTCATGCTAGGATGGAAAATAAAGGAAAGCCACAGATAATCCCTAAAACATGGATAGAAACCAAAAGAAAAGAATTACAGTCACATTGGTCCTGGAGTTATGTGACCCTGGGCAAGCCTCAATTTCCTCAACTGTAAAACGTGGGTAATAACAGTTCCTACCTTTTGAGGTTGCTGTGAGTGTCAAGTGAGATAATATTTATAAAGTGCTTAGTACAGTTCCTTGCACATAGTAGGTGCTGTATGAATGCTTATTCCCTTCATCCTTTCCCTTCATCTTTGCCAACATTGTGACTACATTGAATATTTTTCTCAGAAAGTTTTCTTTCTTCTTGACTTCTTCTCTCCTTCTCTTTTATTTTTAGAAACAATAATGGTTCCTCTCCCTCCAAGTCTTGGAATCAATACCTTTTAAACAGTGTTTCAATTTACTCATTAAATTCTTCTCATTTCAGCACCACAGCTATAGCTCATAGGATTCCATACCAGCTGCTTTGAAATAGCCTTAATTTACAAAACCAAGCTAACCAAAAACATAACTTTAAAAATAAAAATAACTTTAAAAATTTAAACAAAGCATAGCAAAGTTGTAAAAAATCTATAAAATTGATTTATCCTAAGTGTGTAGAAATGAGATATTTTTCTTCAATTCTGTATCAAAGTGAGACATGCTTTTCCAAGAAGTCAGTTATATAGTGCTTTGCATAAAGCAGCTGCTGTTTAAGTATTTGTTGATTTGAATTGATATGGAATTCAGTATTTAATAATCAAAGAAAAATGAATAATTGTTGAGGTTAAAGAATTGAATAAGTACCACAGTGAGTACAAACAAATCACTTTGGGCAGGTCTGGGGATTGGCTCTTTTCCTGAAAGATTGGCACAGTCCAGTGGTTGGGAACCTTTGGCCTTGAGGCTGCACGTGGCTCTCTAGGTCCTCAGGTGTGGCTCCGTGACTGAATCTCCCCCATTCATTTTGAAAGATGGTCTCTTTTATTATTTCTTATGTCAGGATTTTGTTGCTCTTTGTCCCCAGATTCAAATCACGAAGTGTTTTCAGGTGCCATTTTTTAATATTAAGTGCTAACTCTTCTTGTTAAATGCTGAGCTTGGCTATGGTTATGCTCAATGTTTTACGCGATCGATGTTGGACCTGGAAAGAAGGAATAGGGGGTAACACAAGTGCATTGAGAATGGTCAGCTATTTCCCATAATCCGTGGTCCCCAGAATGAGCTCGGTCACCATGATACTATAGAAGTTCTTAACCTGGGGTCCAGGAGACCAAAGGCTATTCTATAGATAAATTTCAAGGGGTCTGTAAACTATATTTTCCAAGGGGTGGAGAACCTGTGGCCTCAAGGTCACATGTGGCCCTCTAGACCCTCAAGTTTGGCCCTTTGATTGAATCCAAACTTCACAGAACAAATCCCCTTAATAAAAGGATTTGTTCTATAAAACTTGGACTCAGTCAAAAGGCTGTACCCAAAGATCCAGAAGGCCACATGTGACCTTGAGACTGCAGGTTCCCCACCCCTGCTTAACTTCTAATGAAATTTAGCATTTCTGCAATTATTTCCTAAAGCATTCTTCCTGTGCGGAGTTATAAGCTTCACCAGACTGCCAAAGGGAATTATGGCACACAAAAAGACTTCTGCTATCCAAAGAACTAGAGCCTGTTGGAACAGGTAGTACTTTTCCTTAGGCTACCACTGTGTTCCAAGAAGAAAGTCCCAGGTCAAAGTTTCGGTAGACAGATTGCTAAACAGTGCTAATTACTTTGGGAATTACCATTTCTATATCTACTCTTAAATATATTCTTTCATTCATTTTAGGCCTCAGCCTGTATTTCATCAGTGTTGGGAACTCCCTGTGAGAAAAATTCCTTCATTGATACAGATCTGTAACTGTTTTATGATTTGTATTCTTAGAGAATTTCCAGGAATACCAAGAGTTTAAGTAATTTGCCTGAAATCACACAGCCTGTGCACATCAAAGGCTGGACTTGAACCATATGTGTTCCTCACTAAGAAGGCCAGCTTTCTATCTATTTAGGTGTGCTATCTCCCTCTCGCTCTCACCAGAACAAGGTTAGGTGTTTAGAAATGGTACTACACAGAGCAAATTTGATTAGGGCCTGGGGCTGCTATGGGACACCTTGGCATCCCATCTATAGCTAAACTCCACTGAGAACCACTGTGGTTCTGTTGAGGTCAGATTTGGGAGAGCTGTTCAGGTGTGAAAGAATTCACTTATACCACCTTTTCTTAGCCATTCATTGGAAGCTTTATTATGTGAAAGCTTCACAAGCCCCAGTAGAGAGAAGCTAATGAAAGGCCCTGATATTTGGAAGGACCAGGCTTATATAGACAGAGAGCTATTCAGCCTGTAGGATGATGATGTTGTTTTAAGGTTTCTTATGGGGGTTGAAGATTAGGGACAGGATGAGGAAGATGATTTCTTACGAGATAAGGAGAAATTGTCATGACACAAGATGAAGGAGAAAAGGAATTTTATGGTTCAGGATAAGGAGAAGATAAAGGGAAGAGACTTTAGGATGCCCTCAAGCTCGGAAGGGGCCTCACAGTATTGGAAAACCAACTCTTAATATTCTTTTTAATTCTTAGGGCACCATTTGTATCCACGTCAGTTCAAGCAGCCAGGCTTTTTTATAGGTTGGTTAACTGAAAAAGAGAAGAGAGACAGACTGACAGACGGGTAGGCAGACAGGCCTCAAGGCAAATTTCCCAGTACAGCCATCTACTTGGTATAAGCTGGCATTTGTAGTTCAACCATTTCAGTCATATCTGACTCTTTGGTAACCATTTTGATGTTTTCTTGGCAAAGATATTGGAGTGGTTTTCGAGGAAACTTAGGCAAACAGGGTAAGTGACTTGCTCAGGGTCACACAGCTAGTGAATGTGTGAGGTCAGGTTTGAATTCAGGTCTTCCTGACTCTAGGCCCTGCGCTCTATTCACTGCAACACATAGCTGCCCTGGCTGGCATTATCTTGGCCAAATTAGCTGGGTGATTATTGTGCAAGTTTTTTGACAGCTTTATTTTTGCTTGCTTCTTGTTATTTTAATTTCTGCCAAGTTTATTTGCTTCCTGCTTATTTAATATTTAAGCTTCTTTTCCCCTTCCTTTTTTTAAAGGTTATATTTAGATAATTTTGAAACGGAGTTGATCAGTGTTTTCAAGAGTATTTTGGGGGTGGTGGTGGTAATGCATGCCTATGATCCCTGTTACCAGGGAGTCTGAAGCTGATGGTTCTCTTGAGTTTGTGTTTTCTGAGCTGCAGTAGATTAAACCAGTTGGGTGTTTGTCTGCAAGTTCAACTTCAATATAATGAGCATCCAGGAAGTAAGGGACCACCAGATTGACTGAAGAAGGACAAATCAGACCCCAGTTGGAACTTGAGTAGGTTAAAACTGCTCTGCTCAGAATGGGATAAGACCCATGAGAACTTCCTAAACTTCCAGCCTGGGTGAGATAGGGAGATCTAATCTTTTTTTTTAAAAAAAGTGGTCTAATCTTTTATGTATGAGAAATGTAAAATCTATGTCTAAGATTGTTACTAGTAATTAGGTAACTTATAAGGAAGATTGAGGTAGACCTGAGTATGATATGACTTCAAAAAGTAAAACCATTCAAGTAGAGCTAAAAGAGTAATTTTTTTTTTTTGCGAATGAGGCACAAGAGGAAGAACCAGTACACAGGAATTAGATGGAGGAGGGGAGCTATTAGTTCTGGAAACCTACTCTCATTGGGAATGGGTTTAAGAGGGGAAAATACACATACATTTAAAAAAATAAAAAAATGTTCTAAATTTAGAAATAAAACTCTAAGGGGATAAAGGAGGGATCTTTAGAGGGGAGGGTATGGGAACAGGTTAAAAGGGGGATGTTGAAGGGGGTTTAGATTTAGAGGAATGGGAGCATAAATGAGGGATTGTTGGAGTGGGAGTATGTTAAGTAATAGGAGGGTAAGGTAGCAGGTAGAAGTAAAGTAGAGGAGTTAGGAGAGAGAGAGAGAGAGCTAAAAAAAAGAGATGCACAAACATAAAAACAAAGATTAGGAGTAGAATCTCTTAGGGAAAGTATATGTTTATATATGTGTATATGTATGTATGTATGTATATGTGTATGTATGTGTATATATGTATAAGTGTATGTATATATCAGTACCTATATATAAATATATCCAATGCTCAATTATTACCTTGGGGTGGTGGGTAGGAGGCAGAGAGGGAGGAAAAAGGACAAAGTAAAAAGTGTACAGTAGAGAACAAAAGAAAACCTATAAGGAAGCAAAAAAAGATGAACAACTTTCAACATAATGCACAGTATTTAATATATAGACTTTCTTGAAATGAAAAGTTATTGCTATATATTTTGAATCCTCTCCTATGTTCTGCTGTGCACGTGACTTTTTGGTTTTTTCTTATTTTATATTTGTTTATAATGTTTCTTTTTCTTTTCTAATTATGTATTTGAGTTTTAGCATTTGTCTAAAATAAAAAAAATTAAGAAAAAATTTAAAAAAGAAAGAAAAAAGTGGTCATCATATTTTTATTTCTTTTTATTTGGCAGTGTAATTGTACTGATAGTTTAGGGGAATGCTATATAGATAAAGTTTACTTAGATTTTAGCTAAATATTTAACAAAGCCTTTGCTATTTTTATGGAAATGATGGTGAGATGTAGGCTACATAATAATACAGTTAGGGGGATTTGGGACTGGATGAATGGGGGGGATCCAAAGATCCAAAAGTTCTTAAAGGTCAATGTCCATTTAGAGGGTGGTCTATAATAGAGTGCATAAGGGATCAGTGCTTGGTTCTGAATTGGTAAAGAATTTTTATGAATGATGGATAAAAGTCTATATAGCATGCTCATCAAATTAGAGAATACAAAAAGCTAGGCCAAATAGCTAACATATCAGACGTGAAATCAGGATCCAAAAATATCTTGACAAGTTAAAACATGAGACCAAATTTTATAGGCATAAAGGTAAAATCTTATACATGTATTCAAAATGTCAGCTTTATAAGTATAATGTGTGGAGGCAATAGTTTATCCATGGGCAAACTTTAGAGGATTGCAAACATTTTCATAATTTCATAATTCAATCTTTGGTTGCATTCAGAGAAGCATAGTTTCCAAGACTAACAAAATGGCACTTGTACTTTGCCCTAATTGGACCAATTCTGGATCCCCCACTTCGAGGATAATGCATAACTTGGAGAAACATCTAGAAGATGACAACTAGGATGGTAAAGAGCCTAAAAAATCATGTTGTGTTAGAATTATTTGATGAAACTAGTGATGTTTAGCTTTGAGAAGATAGGACTTGGTGAGGAAATGGTAGCTCTCTTCAAGTATTCTGAGGAGTATCATTTTAAAGAAGGATTAGCCTTGTTCATCTTGGTTCCAGAGAGAAGAAATAGAAGCAATGGGTAAAAGTTTTAGAAAGGGAAATTTCGGCTTGATTTAAGGAAGAAATCTCCAACATTTAGAGCTATCTTTTTTTTTTTATTGTACTGTATTATGGAAATGCTTGTTTTGTTCTGTGAACTGAAAATAAAATTAATTTTAAAAAAGTGGAATATGTTATCTCAGGAGGTAATGGGTTTCCCTTAGATGGAAGTCTTCAAGATAAGAATAGATGACTTGTCAGATATACTAAAGGATGAATAATTTTTCAAGTACATATTGGACTAGATGGTTTCTGAGGTCCCTTCCAATTTTGAGAGTCTGTGGGATGTAGGACAAAGGCCTCATCAGAGATTCTGAAAGAGTTAATTTATTCTCATTATTTGTGAGGGAAAACAATCCATCAGTTAAAATTTTGGCTATATTTATGTCTGTTCAGCAGATGGTGGAATATGGTATTTATTCCTGTCATACCTGAGTATTTCCTAGAAGAACCACATAATTGTTAGAGAAGATTAATGATTATTTTTAAAGTCTGTGCTATGTTTGTATCATTTGTTACCTTGTTACATGTTGGTTTTACACAACATAATTTGCCTCTCTGGGCTTCTTCCTGTAACTGAGTCTTTTTTTTTTAAAGCTGTGAAATAGTATTAAAGCAGAGATATGCATCTGGAAAAATCAAAATATCCCTATTTAATTGGCTCATTAGATGTGTTTGGCTCATATGTAACCACTCATTCTTGCAGATTTTTGTTGGTGCAGTGTAAATATTTTGGTCCCAGTAGTATTTCAAGCACCAAAATGAAAAGTCTGTTATTTGGTGCATCTTGATTTATAATCGAAGTGTATCTGCAGCAAGGGAGTTGTTCTGAAGGACCACGCTGAAAGTTGTTATTATATAGAAATGCTGGGTTTCGTGGGTTTATTTTGCAGCCTGCCACTTTGTGGAAGCAGTTAATTTTCCCAATTAGTTTCTTTGCTGATTACCTAGGATTTTCTAAGTAAACTATTATGTGACCAGCAAACAGTTTTTGGATAGCTTTCATTAAAAATGACAAGTTAATAAAAACACCAATATGTACTTCTCTTGGTAGGGAAGGTAGTACAGTGTAAAGAGCATGAAATTTAATGTTGGTAGACCTGGGTTAAAAGCCTGGCTCTGTTGCTTACTACTTGTGTGACCTTCACTGAATCACTTAAGCTCTCTAGGTCTCAGTTTTCTCATTTGTAAAATGAGGAGATTGCCCTTGATGACCTTGAAGATCTAGAGGCAGCTAAAGTGATCCATTGCACAGAACACATTGGGCCTGGAGTCAGGAAGACCTGAGTCAGAATCAGATTGCAGGCCATTGCTAGCTTTGTGACCCTGGGCAAGCCATGTCTTAATCTCTATTTGCCTCAGTTTCTTCAAATGTGAAATGGTGATAATAATAGTACCTACTTTAAGAGGATCAAATAAGATACTATTTTTAAAAGCACTTAGCACAGTACCTGGCCCATAGTAGGTGCTTTATAAGTACCTATTCTTTTCCTTTCCTTCTCCTTCCCTTTCCCTTCCTTTCTTGCTTTAAACCTAAGATAGTATTTGAACCCCTATAACTCATTCTATTGAGTCTTGGTCATATTTTCCTGCCTAGCTAGTTGAGCATTGATAATTACATGATATTTCTCCCTCAGGCCTATGTTTAAAGAGGGATGAAGAGTAACAAACTAAATTATACTTCCTTCAATCCCATAAAAGAAGAACCCAGAAGGCCCTTCACAGAGGAAAAGAGAGCCATTTATATGAAATTTTATTATATCAATTATATTAAGGCTATTGTAGCAGAAGTATATTGAGCCTTGATTTATACTTGGATTAAAAAAATGATGGTGTTTTATACTGAATATAAGCTCAGGCACTGGGATGGCTTTCATTGTAGATACCTAGTAGCCCTCTTTTGAGCACAGCTGGGGTTTATAACTGGTCACTGGGAGGGTGATGGATAGACTAAATAACCTCAGTAGGCTTCTTCCAAGCAACAGTTCTATGATCAGGCAACCCAAAACTGTAGAAAAAGAGATAGATGTTGAGTCAGACGACTTGCATTCAAATCTTGGTTCTACTATTTACTCTGCCTATGTGACCCTTGGCAAATCACTTAACCTCTCTAGTCTTCAATTTCTCATCTGTAAAATGGGGATTTTGGATTAGGAGGCCTGTAAAGTCCCTTCTAGATTTTAATCTAGGATCTTATGACTTCAGTAGAAGTTTCCATTTTATATGAGTAATGGGGTCATTAAATTGTCTGCGATTCTCTCCAATAGCATGACTAGATTACACGGATGTTTACCTAAATCTTTATTGAAAGAAAAAGACTTTTTGTTTCAGTTTTTTAAAAAATGTTTTCCAGGTTACAATGCATGACTATTTACCATTCAGTTTCCCTCATGGATGATGAATCTTGGGACAGTAGCGCTGCTGACTGGGAGCAAAGATATCTTTTAGGAAATGAAATTGTCAGCTTCTCCACATCTGCTTCCTCAGAGAAGAGTGAATTTCTGGACGGTTTTCATGTCAAATTCAATTTATCAAAACTGAGGTAAGAATACTTCCTCCATATGTCTCTGTTAGCACTGAAAACTCATTATAGATGAATAAAGCAATTATTTAGCTTTTGCTATGTGCCTGAGCACTGAGAAAAGGAATACAAACCAAAAGACAGATAAATCCTACCCTCAGGGAGCTTATAGTCTAATTGGGGAAGACAGTATATAAAAGGGAGTTGTAAAAGTCTAGATAATCAGGAGTGGAGCCAGGAGAACTTGGATCCAAGTGTAATCCAAGTGAATCCAGGAAAGTAGATCCGAGGCACTTGCTGAAATGGAGGCTCTAGGCTAGAACCCTTCAAAAGGAGGAGGGAACCATCATGTTTAAGGCATGTGCAGGGTGAGAAGGCTGCTGCAGTGGAGGATGAGAAGTCTAGAGATTGATGGGGAGATTTACATTACTTTCCTATAATTTTTAGTAATCATTCCATACTTACATATCATATATGTAATATAAATTTGAGTTAGAGACTTAGTCTTTAGCTGAAAAAAAATTGATTCTGATCATATCCTAGGCTTGCTTTCCATGGGTGACTGTGGATCTAATTTGTCCCAAGATTAGGCTGTGTTATGTCCCTCCCTTCTATTGCCCAGGAGAAAACAACCTGCCTGTTTCTATTATCCTCAGCCTGAGTGCTCATCTGAGCCCAATGCATTTTCCCCTAAAAATTATGCCTCCTTTCTACTAATTCTTGCAGAAGGTGGGATTTGAGCTGTGTCTTAAAGGAGATTAGGAAAACTAGGAGGCAGAGGTAAGGAGGGAAAGCTTTCCAGGTAGAGGAGATGGCCAGTGCAAAATACAGAGTTGGGAGAAGTGGATGAGAAATGTCAACCAGACAAGTATAGCTGGATTGTATACAGCAGGGAAGGGGAATCCTCATGAATTCAGATTCCCTCTTGTACTTCTATAAGGAGAAAGGCAGAAGTTGTGGCTATTAAGAGAGAGGACATGAGAGTATGGACCCAGGTTCTATTGCTTTGCTTATCTATTAAACTACTAATTACTTAGGTGTCAGGAGGCAAGTGGTACAGTCTCTCTATGTCCATTTCCTTGACTGTGAAATGCGGATAACAATTTCTGCTCCATTTACCTCATAAGATTGTTCTGAAAATTGAACTAGAAATATATTGCGGAGCATTTTTCAGAATCTTGGGCACTAAAACTTGTGTTGTTGTTATTTGGACAAGACTTATTGGCATAGGGACCTCCCAGTAAGGGAAATCCCCCCACCAATGAAGAGCAACACCAGGTTAGCAGCTTTTAGTGTCACAGAGTTCTTTATGGTCTTTGAATACTTAAGTGATTTGCCTATGGTTAGAGAGTTGGGAGTTGGGGCGTGTCAGAGGGTGAACCAGAGATTTCCTTATTGAAAGGCGGACTCCCTATCTAATACAACAGGAATGTTTACTGTGACTATATTCTATTTATTTATGCATTTATTTATTTATTTGTTTGCTTGTTTATTTATTTATTTTTAGGCAATTGGGATTAAGTGACTTGGCCAGGGTCACACAGCTAGTAGGTGTCAAGTGTTTGGTCTGAGTGCAGATTTGAACTCAAGTCCTTCTGACTCCATGGCCGGTGCTCTATCTACTGCACCACGTAGCTTCCCCTGGTTACTGTGACTATAGATGAGGGCTAAAGCATACTGTTACAGAATTTATCTAGGAATCTATGAACTTTTAAAATATTTGATAACTTTATTTCAATATAAAGAACATCCTTTGTAATCTTTTATATGTTATGCATTTAAAAATAGTTTTGAGAAGAGAACCATAGGCTTCACTAGACTACCAAAGGGGTCCATGACACAAAGAGGGTTTAGAACCCTTAATCCTGGGGATGAATGTTTCCCCCATCTCTCCCATATTTACTGGACAATCCAGATCTACTTGTCTACTTGTGGTTTCTCATCTGATTCTCCTAAATGCATTTTGCATGGGCTGCCCCCTCTGCCTGGAGTGCTTTCCCTCCACACCTCTGCCTCCTAGTTTTTCTGGTTTTCTGTTAGACTCAGCTCAAATCCCACTTTCTGCATAAGGCCTTTCTTGCATGCAGATTCTACCTTAATGAATTGAAAAAAACTTGGCAGCGGGACTCTTGGCAAGTTATTTCGCTATTCTGGGACCTGATTTTCTTATCTTAAAAATGAGGGGATCGCTAAGTTTCTTTCTCCCCTCTAGCATTCTATTAGGTCTCTGATTAGAGATGCTCCTTTGGATACTTGTCATAGTTGAGCACGTCTTAAAGTTCATCTTACAGTACACTTACATCCTACAAGGAAGCAACAGAACTTAAAATTATTTAATACCACTTAATATGAGGACAAAACACGCTTGAGCCTATGGTATTAAAAATGACATAGTTGTCTTTGGCTTGACATGTCTAAAAAGTGCTACACATGAAAAATGAAGTGACTTAAAAAAATCTTTTTAGCTTGTGAACTCTGCTGTTTATGTATTTGAATTATGTAGGAATAAGTTGTACTGAACTTGAAGCAGTTCAATGAATGCCTCATATTTTTAAAAAGAAATGTCATTATGATTCCCATTTAAATAAGAACTGTTGAAACATAATTTTGGAAGTGTGGAATGGTAATTTATCAAATGCATTAAATCTGAAAGAATGTTGAATAAGGTTTTAACATTTGCAAAGGTTCAGAAGGTCTTGGAAAAAATGTTGGATAGAAGCTGATGGTGCTTTATCAGACGGGCAGAATAGTTAAAGAGATCTGCCTAGTATATATATTTTTTGATACTTAAATAATTTGTTAAGCACGTAGGTACTGTTCTAACCTCTGGGGTTGCAACAACAAAACAAAATAGTCTCTGAGCTGACATTCTGGGAAATGACAATTACAAAGAAAATTAAACATAAAATATACACAAGTTATTTGTAGAGAAAGGACACTAGCAACTTATCAATCAATTAATCAATCCATAAACATTTATTAAGCACCTACTATGTGCCAGGGCATCAAGCTAAGCACTGGGAATGCAAACTAGTATATTCTTTTTAAAAAAAATTATTTATGTATTTATTTTTAGTTTTCAACATTCACTTCCAAGATTTTGATTTCCAAATTTTCTCCCTATCTCTCCCCTTCCCCCACCCCATGACGGCATGAATTCTGAATGGCCTTTCCCCCAATCTGCCCTCCCTTCTGTCACCCCATCTCCCTTCTCTTACCCCATCTCCCTTCTCTTATTCCCTTCCCCTTCTATTTTCCTGAAGGGCAGGATAGATTTCTATACCCCATTGCCTGTGTATCTTATTTCCCTGTAAGGCAATTTCTAACATTCAATAGGTTATACATGTGTAGTCATGCAAAACACTTCCATAATAATCATGTTGTGAAAGACCAAATATACTTCCCTCCATCCTATCTTGCCCCGCTGTGATCTTCTGACCAGTTGTTTGATCCACTTCCTGAATTCAAATCTGGCCTCATGATATTGATAGACTTTACCCTTCTCAGCAATACAAGGATCTAAGACTTCTCCAAAGGCCTCATGGTGGAAAATGCTATCTACATCCAAAGAAAGAAGTAGGAAGTTTGAATGCATATTGGAGTATACTATTTGCTATTTTTTTCCTTCTGTTGTGTTTTGTTTCCTCTTTCTGGTGGTTCCTTCTGTTGGTTCTAATTCTTACAATATCATTAATGTGAAAACAAGTTTAATAGGAATGTATATGTATAGCCTATATCATATTGTGTGCCATCTTGGGGAGGGAGGTGGGGAGAGAAGGGGAGAAAAATTTAAAACTCAATAGCTTATGTAAGCGATTGTCGATGAATCAAAAGAAATTAATTAAAATAAGTAAACATCAAAAATAAACAAACAAACAAACAAAAACAAATCTGGCCTCAGACACTTAACAGCTGTGTGACTGGGGCAATTCACTTAATCCTGTTTACCTCAGTTAACTCATCAATGAGCTGGAGAAGGAAATGGCAAACCACTCTAATATCTTTGCTAAGAAAACCCCAAATGATGTCATAAAGAGTTGAACTTGACTTAAACGTCTCAAAAACAACCACAAACAGCAAAATCCATCAAAATATAATTTCATCTAAAACTAAAGGCCCATAAAGAAGGAAAGAAGCATTTATTAAGTGTTTATTATACAGTAAGTATTGTGTTAAGCAATTTAAAAATATTATCTCCTTTGGTCCTCATAACAATCCTAGAAGGATGCTCACTTTACAGTGGAGGAAATTGAGGCAAAGAGAAGTTTGGTGATTTTCCTAGTCACACAAGTAATAATTTTCTCAGGCTGGATTTGTACTGAAGTATTGCTGGCTAGCCCACCTCTCAAGCTACTGTGCCACCTAGCTGCCTGTAAGGATTGGTTCTGAGTTTAAAATCTTTAGTTTTCCCCAAGTAAATCTTGATCAAATCTCTCTTTAAAAAAAGGCATTAAATTCAGAAGTAATTCACTGCTTTTTTAAGTCATTGTCCCAATTTTATTTTGTACATTCTCTGAGCAATTTCTTCAAGATGAAGATCAGACTGACCAGACCAGACAAGCCTGGTGATGAACTATATGTCTTTGTTCAGAGGACTAGCCTAGTTCAGGCAAAGGCAAACACTTGGCTGCAAAATGATGAATGATTTTGGCTACAGGAACTCTGGAAGGCAATTTATTAAATTATAAAGTGATTGCAATCTGCACTGGTGGAGAGAGCAGTCACACTGACATCATTATAGACCCTTGAAGTATTGAAGAAGAAGAAAAAAATTGATCATCTCAGGCAGTACTTGGTGTTTCAGCAAAATTGCTGTGTGGATTTTCATCTTACTGTGTCTCTAAGAAGTGTGTTTCTTTTATTTCAGAAGCTGCTTAAGATGTCTGAAAGTCACAGGCCTTTTTATCTTTGGAGTTGTATGTTCTGTAAGTATTGGGATTTGGAAATTTTGACCTAGAGTGACAATAATTATATGGCTTCATCTAGGTTTTTCGTCAGATCCTTTAGCCAGAGTAGTAGCTAACATTTCTATGGTCCTTTATATGTTATCTCACTGGATCCTCACAACGGCCCTGTGAAATAGGTTCCATTTTTATCCCTATTTAATCAATGATGCAATCTAGAGTCACAGAACTAGTAAGTATCCAACACAGTATTTGAAACCAAGTCTTCCTGACACTAAGTCCAGTGTTCCGTCCACTGCACCACACTTCTTCAGAGAACATGCCAAGTCTTAGGTTTTTTTTTTTTTTAGTTAGCTAGAGCAACATAGATTTTTTAGCATAGAGAGCCTCATGTTGGGTGAAAATGCCATGTCCTCAATTTGTGGCTTTCCTGTTCACTCTAGGGTCCCTTGGAATATGATCAGCTGTTGATCATCTGCATCAGTGGAGGCCATTGGTGTCCCAAATATCGGGCAATCTAAGAAGCATTTTATGGTGTTTTAAAAGGATTTAGATAATTTTCCCCATGCAGATTTAACTTCCTAATTAAGATTTTATTAAGTTATTATTGGGCAGCTAGGGGGAACAGGGGATGGAGCCCTGGGCTTGGAAGATTTATCATCTTCCTGAGTTCAAATCTGGCCTCAGATACTTACTAGCTATGTGACCCGAAGGAAGTCTCTTAACCCTGTTTGCCTCAGTTTCCTCATCTGTAAGATGAGCTGGAGAAGGAAATGACAAACCGCTCCAGGATCTTTGCCAAGAAAACCCCATTGGGGTCATGAAGAGTCAGACATGACTGAAATGACTGAATAACAAGAAGTTAACATTCAAATTAATTTTCATTTCTTGGTTGATTTTCATTTTATCAACTGATGATCTAGGGACTGTGGAGAACGGGAAGTCTCATGGACACATATTGAATGACAGGCCAAAACTAGCTTGTGATTTTAATTTTTTTTATTGTTAATAAACCACTCACACGTGATTGAAAGCTGACTGTGATTTGCTGTGTGTTCTCTTGTCACTGTCTCTGTAGATGAGTCTTTTTGTGTCAAATAGACATTTGCCCAGAATAATATTAGCAGTCTTTGTTTCAAAACTTGAGATATCAGGTCATCAATCTGGTGCACTTGTTTGGGTTACATGTAATGTGTTAGACGTTTATAAGTCTCATTCAATCTTACGAGATGGGAGTGCCACTTCCATCTTCCTTATAGCCATTAAATTGATCATCTTTGTAATTGACTCTGAAGTATAGGAAAATTACTTCATCAGTATTTGGAGGTTTAATTTTTGTTGCATGATCTTTGCTCTTTGCTGTTGATTTATTTTGTGATGTAAAGTAATTGTTGATCAATCAGCAAGGTTCACTGTAGCTAAAAGTGTGGCAGATTCTCAAAAAAGAGCAAGTGAGAATAAGTTGGAAAATTTTAGATCCATAAATTAATAACATTATTATACTATTTTGCATCTCTTGACAAGATTATTCAAAGGCTATCATTTTATTACGTACCTGCCACGTCGACTAGCACAGTGCCTTGTCAATAGCGTTTAATGAATATTTGTTAAATTGAAATTCAATCATCTCAGTTAATGTGTTTACTTATAATTTTGTTTTCTAATTATTCCAGATTTTATTCAGCACATATCCAGATCATGGAAAATCCTGGCAGATGTTGGCTGTGTCACCTCTGGAAAGCTACTGTATCCAAAATATGCACTGAGTTTTTTTTAGTTACCAGTCAGATGAGAATTATAGAGAATTGCAGACCATGTGAAAATATATTACTTTCCTTTGAAGTTCACAGCATAGATTGTGATTCTTCTACCTAAAGAGTCTGCTCATGCACATTTGTAGCAGACTACTTGGTGAAATATGACATATTCTAAACAACATGAGGGGAGGGAGAGTTCCTATAGAAGTTGATTGAATTGTGAAAAGTCACGCAAAGAGCCAGCACTATATAGAAGTTTCAAAATTCTTCTCTCATAGCTGGGATTATTGGTGCCTCTCTTTAAATAGCCTTGTGCATATTTTGAAGTCTGAATATAAATCTTGTTCATAATGCTCTAAGTCTTGAGAGGTTGTAGAAACCTATCTGCATTAATCAGAAAAGAATAGTACCTCTAAAATATAAGCCGAGGTCAGTGTTTCCAATGGAGTATAATGCTACCTAGATCCTAGAAAGGATATAAGTCTTGGCAAGAGAGATGAGGGAAACAAAGGCAGTAAATGCTATTATCTGTGATAAAAACCAGTAAAAAATATCCAGTATTGAATTGAATTCTAAACCCCTTAGCAAGGTTACCCTTGTAGTCTGTGCATTATATCTTCCCTGTACTCCAGAGCCATCTTATTAATGTCAGTACTTTATGGCAAGATAACTCTTCTTGTCCCAAGAGTCAAACTTAAACCATTTCTCTTTCTTTCTCAATGCTGGGTGAAATGGTAGGGATGCCAGAAAACATTAATAATAGTGATGGCTTTTGCAATTTGAATTCTCCTTTGCCATGTTGGAGTAGCTTCTTGGTATTGAAAAAGAAATTATATTGAATTCTCCCATGCTGTCAGCTCTGAACATGTAAACCATTTGAAAAATGAACTTAGATGAACAACAGCCTGCAACATAGTCTTATTCCTGAACCTGACTTCAATAACTTAACACCTTCTTACTACCTGAGCTAGACAGATGATACCAGTAGGCTGAAGGTTTGACGGTAAATAATATTTGGGACTACTACCATGATGTGAAACATTTGAGGAAATTACATTTTAATAGAGAAATGATGCATTTAGTGTTCCCAGTGATAAGTTTTTTTTCTTGGCATCTTTTGTATTTCTTGGTATCTTGGCATTTTCCTTAGCATACTTTTAAGTTGGAAATATAGAAAATTTAATGTGAGATGGAAAAAACCCCAGCAGAAAATGACCTTTTAAAACACTGCTATTACTTACAAAATAAAAAGTCCCATAGGGCTAGAAGGCACCATCAGTGGCATTATCAGGGAATTCCACATAATTTAATATTTTAGGATACTTCACATCAGTTATTTTTTAAAGTCCCATATTTTAAAAAATGTTTCTTTACTGCTGTGTCTTATGAAACTCTCTGCCCAGTGTAATGTAACATTTTCTTGATGAGTCAAAGTCATCATTATGAACATCAGTACTTATATTGTGCTATAATAGCACACTTGCTCTCAGGGGTGTGTGTAGGGACATTAGTTACCCTCTCTTCAGTTTTCTTTTTATTCATTTATCTTGATATATTTTCTACAAATTTACCCTCTTATTAAGACCTACCAATAACTTGAACTGCATTTTCCACTCCTTTATTGAACACTGACTGTGTGCCCAATGTTGAATTAGGCAGTGTGAGGGATACAAAGGATAAAATCTGGTCTTTGATCTCCAGGAGCTTACAATATAGTTGGGAAAACCAGATTAATACCAAACCTTCTGGTAAGCAGACATCAAACACTTAAAATTGTTTTCTCAATGCTTATTATTTATTTTTTCCACACTACTGTCCCTTTTCTGTAAACCCAATGCCATGAATCTGCCATTATAACAAAGAAAAATAAACTATTCTAGCAACCCCATTTACGACATTCAGCACCAACTGTGGTCCACTACATCTTTGTTGACAGGAGGAAAGAAAGCCCACACATTTTATAAAGACTCCTTGCAACCTTTACAATAGCAACAACTTCTCTTTAGCCTAAGCTATGTTTTTAAAAATTTTTAAATAATTTTGAGCTTAAATACAAAAAACCAAAAAAAATTCCATTTATAGAGCACAACTCAAAGAGATGATTCAATATGAAACCATAAATCTACATTTCACAGTTTACTTAAAAAAAACCCCAACTATGTAATAAATACTACATAAAAGTACTACATTAAAACAGCCTTTTCAAAGCTACCCTGCTTTTCTGTGCTTCTTTCTCAGTTTTCTTTTGTGTTCTGCTATACACCTTTTATTTTTTTCTCCCTCTCTCCCCACCCTGCACTAGAGAAGGCTACCATTAGACACAGATATGTATATAGATGCAAAATCATACTATACACATTTCTATTTATCAATTCTTCTCCAGAGGTGGATAGTATCTTCCTTCATAGGTCCTTTGTAGCTGTTTTGAGTATTTATAATATTCAAAATAACAGTCATTCACAGTTGCTCTGCAAACAATATTGCTATTATTGTATACTTAGGCTACCTTTTAAATGAGTGAAGTTTGCTCCAGGAGTTCCTGCATATCTAGGTGTGGTTTTTTACATTAATTTTTTACATTAATAGTGAACTGATTTATTAGAAGTACTCATTATCTTTGCTCCCTCTTTAATTGTTAAGTATGGGCAGCTAGGTGGCCCAGTGGATAGAGTGCCTGAAGTCAGAAAGACCCATCTTTCTGAGTTCAAATCTGGCCTCAGACACTTACTAGCTGTGTGAACCTGGGCATGTTACTTCCTCCTTTTTGCCTCAGTTTCCTCCTCTGTAAAATGAGCTGAATAAGTGGCAAACCATTCCAATATCTTTGCCAAGAAAACCTCAAATGGGGTCATGAAGAGTAGGACATGACTGAAACAACTCAATGACAGCAACAAAAAAATGGAGAAGTCATTGAACCCTTTCAGTATCTACAATACTATCAAACCTATGTACTCTTGGGCTCTACAGACTCTGGAAGCAAGATGCAATTTTATTCTTTTTCCCAGGAAAAGAGACACCATTTCTTCTAAACTCATTATGAACATGCTTTGGGTGACTTCCTGTAACCAGTTCTTCAGATCTCATTACCCTAGTACCTGGTTGAAGGTTTTCTTGATTTTTTATTTATGCTTCAGAGCTTTAAAATTCTGTCTTAGCTTCAGGGTTTAAACAACTTTTACCTGCAAGAAAACTGAACGTTTCTATGAATGTGACCCACTTTTGTTACTCTTATTCCTTTAACCTTCTTGATTCTCTTGCAAATAGGAAATATACTTCTAAAAACTCTGTGCTTACCTGTGGACCTCAAGGGAAACTGTCATGGTGGAGCATTCTTTCAACTAAGGCTCTTAGGAAAACAAACTGAAATGTCTTCTTTATAACTTCCACAAGGGAACTGGGGAAGAGTGTTTTTATTTTTTTAATTTAGTGCTCCAAATAGACTAAAAAAAAAAACAACTCAAAAAATTGAAACCAGAGGTTATGTCTGGTCAGAGATGGTCTCCAGTCAGACAAATAAATGCTGTCTATGGATTTTTTTTTTAAATGTGAGGGGGGGTATAGAGATTGGTAGGAAGGGGAATCTGGGAATTTTAGGAGATAATTAAAAAATGCTATCCTCTCCCAGAGTGTCTCAAGAAAATTAGGATCAGAAGATTTTGAATTGGAAGGGAACATAGAAAAGAAATATTTTAGTGCCTCAGACACTTACTAGCTGTGTAACCCTAGTCAAGTCACTTAAGCCTGTTTGCCTCAGTTTCCTCATCTATAAAATGAGCTATAGAAAAATAATGGCAAATCACTCCAGTATTGCTGCCAAGAAATCCCTGAATGGGGTCATGAAGAATCAGACACAATCAAAATTCCTGAATGATGGAACAACAAAAAGCTGTTCATGGTTTCTTGGTGTTCCTCTAAAGAGCAACAACATGCAAAATTAAGAGATGGAATTTAAAGATGAGCTATTTCCAGCTTTACACCAAAGACGCTTCTCCAGGGAGACATTCTTGTTAAATACAAGGCTACAATTGTGCCTTCAGTGCAGCCGTGGCACTGGAAGTGTTCTTAAAGAGCATAGACAGAGCAGGCAGACATCATGGAGACGCTGAAGATTTATGGAATTTGATAGCTATGATGCCTTATCCCCAACTTCTGCCACCACTAATGCCTCCTGCCCATCTGGAGGGGCCCCAGTGAGCTGCCAGCCTCTGGTGACAGAATTGCTGGTGCAGAGCAGCTACCAGCAATGGAGGCTGAAAGGAGTCTAACAGAGTTGAGACAACATTGCTTGTCGGGAAGTTCCAATATGTAGGAGGGCTAAAAGCCAATTAAGTAGCTTAGCCTAGTAACAATATTGTGAAACCCCTGGACCCAGAGGCTTGCCAGAGTGACAAAATAAGAAGGAACCAGCGAAGGTTGGAAAAACAGATTGGGGCAAAGCTTTCATGCCAATGAATATTGTAAGTGGTCCCTACACTTCCAGCTTGGGTGAGGTAGGAATATCCAGTCTCAAAAAAAAAAAAGTTCAAAAGAAAAATCAAGGATCAGGCAGAGGGGCAGCGAGTGGAGAGAACACCGGCCATGGAGTCACAGGTACCTGAGTTTAAATCTGGCTTCATAACACTTATTAGCTGTGTGACCCTGGGCAGGTCACTTAACCCCATTGCCTAGCCAAAAAAAAAAAAAAAAGAAAGGAATCAGGCACAGTCTTTTACTGTTTGGATTATTATTTCACTTTGAGGACTTATTAAAATTATCTTGCTGAATGAAGTTATTCTCTGAATAAATCAACATCTGTCTGATAGTAAGGTTAGTTAAAGAAACCACTGATGTACCTGCTGGGGATTTAAAATGTGCCACTCTTTATTATGAAGAATTTTATGAAAATTATCTGTTTAATTTCCTTTTTTGATGTTTGTCATAAATCTAGTATTATGCCATCTAGTCGGTCTGTTTAAGTGAGTCTTGTTTAGAACTGGAGGAGAGATCAGGTGGATTCTATAGACAAATTTCTCCCCTTTACAATGTTTTGGAAACTTGAGGTAGGTGAGTAGAAAATGGAAGGAAAAGCTGTACAGATAGATAAAAGTCTAGTAAGATTGTAGCTGGAGTGACCCATGGGTGGATCAAAAAGAAAGAAAAATAAGTGAGTTGGGTAAAACAGAAAGACGGCTTCTGAAGTGAGTGGGTGGTGGGGACAGAGACAGAGAAACGGAGAAAAAAACAATGAATGAGTGAATGAATGAAAAAGCATTTATCAAAAAGCAGACATTCTGCTCATTCAGGGCTCAATTTCAGTTTTCCCCTTCTTTTGTCTACAGCCTGCTCTAAATAAGCTTCCCTGCCTTTATCCTGAGTAATCCAGTACTTACTTTAAAGGTTTATCTATGATGGATATGGGGAGAGGAAGCTTTGAAACTAACCTCCAGGCCAATGTGATAGTGGATGTGGCTGCTCTCAAGCCTTAGCTGGAAGCCTTGTAATTGCTTCGTAGGAAAAAAAAATGCAGAAGTTCTTTAGGTTTCTCAGTGTTGGTCATGAAAGAGCAGCGGATATTCTTGTGTTTATTGTTTCTTAGTGAAATAGCAATCTTGCCATTTCTTTTGTTAGCTTCTGGTCAAGGTCAGTGATGAGGTTAATTTACAACTTTGATCTGGATTTGATGGTGGGTGGAAGCACCTTGTGCAAGATCCTACAGTAAGCAATTTTGCTTTGATGGGGAAAAGTTTCTTCATGAGTAAGTGACCCAGGGAATAACAAAGCCACTTTCCCCATAGAAATTTCATGTTTCTTTTGTTCCAGTCTCAATGTGTCATCTCAGTAACTGTGGGATTTGTTTGAGAAGCATTGTATAAAAGGAAACCACCACAATTACCTGCACCTGAAGCTCATTGTTGAGAAGTCATTGGCTGTACTGGCTGCAAGGAAGAATCTGTCAGAGGAGCCTTAGGTTATTAGGCCAAGGAAAGAGGTCAGCAGACCTCAGTAGGCAGGTTAATTAATGCCTTTCCTTTTTAAAGGCAAGGTATAGTTTCAGCCATCGTTTAAAACTCAATGCTGGGTTTGTGAATATGTAAAAAGAAGAAAAAGAAAATACATTAAAGTATTCCCTATCCTTTTCCCCTTCACTTAGACTCCAAGCTTTAAGAAAACTATAGGAACTACAGGCATTGTTCTGTTTTGAATGGAATCTCTTCATTGACAGAGAAAACATGGACATATTAATTTGCTCCAAGGGGATCTATTTTTAAAGGACATTAATTGTTACTAATTTTTTTAAATCTTTTTATCTTTTATCTAATAATGTCGTGTGTGGTTTCCTCCTTTCTCTCCCAACCCTATGAATTCTAGCATTGAGGACCAAGATGTTGCAGATTTCCTTACTTTTAATCAATCGGTTATTCACTCAACAAATATTTTCTGAGCTAGATGTTATGAGAGAATTAACAAAAAATAGAATTTGATTACAAGTCTATATCTATTCTAGGTCCCATTAGACATATCTTAACATGGATGAATAAATGAATGAAAAAGCTTATTAAGTGCTTACTGCGTGCCAAACACATATTAAGTGCTTGGCATACAAACACAAAATTCACATAGTCCTTCCAGGACTTTATATTTTAATGCTGGGGGCAGGGGGAAGTGGGACATAACACATGAAAGAATAGTGGCTAGAAAAGGATGTTTTGATCTAGAAAGTTACATCATAGGAGGGATGTCATAGCGATGGTGAGCAGAAAAAGAAATTCTATCGGCCACACCTAACGATCATTTAATTATATTTGGGCTTGGGGTGAGAGTAGGATATGTATGAAATGGCAGGGAAAAAATGGCCAGGCTGAAGATTAGAACACATGGTCACAAAGAGTTCATAGCTGAGTGGCTTAGCTTCTCTAGGGCATCACCTCTGGATGTCTGGTTTGAAAGGTGGATACCCAAGCAGTAGCAGGGCAGAAACTGGCTGGTGTGAAGGTGAGGAAGTGTGGTAGCAGGGAGTTCAGTCAATAAACAAAATAAATAAACATTTATTAAGTGCCTCCTATGTGCTATAAGTGGTAGGGACACAAAGAAAGGATTTGAGAAGCTCACAATCTATCGGGGGACAACATGCAAACTACATAAAAACAAGCTGTATGCAGGATAAATGGGAAATAATTAACAAAGGAAAGGCACTAAAATTAAGAGCGACTGGGAAAGGCGTACTGTAGAAGGTGGGACATTAAGCAAGCCAGGGAAGCCAGGGATAGAGATGAGGAAGGGGAGCATGCTGTGACTGAAGGACAGCAGTGAGAGTGCCTGAAGTCAGGAGGGGGACTTTCTTGTTCAAGCGTCCAGCGTCACTGGATCAAAGAGTGTATGGAGTGGCATGTAAGCACCCTAGCTCCTGCTATGCATGGTCTCTGGAAGTCCACTTGAGAGGGTAGAGGGGCAGAGGCAGAGCTGCTGGAGTTAGAGAAGGGGTTGTAGACATCATCCAGTTCAATGGGCTGGGGTTTTGAATCCAACTCTCTGACTCTAAATCCTGGGCTCTCTTCACCACCAACTTGTCTCTCAAAGATCTACTTCCTCTAAAAAAAAAAGAAAAAGAAAAAGAAAAAAAAAGGCCACCAGAGAATAAAGGAAACTGAAGGAGTAGAGGAAGAGTTCTGTCAGCTGCTGAACTTCTTACCAGAAAAACAAAACAAAACAGAAAAGGGAAATCCACTTCCTTCCTTCCTATTCTGGCCTCCTTTCCTCTTGCAGGAATCTCCACAATCCCTTGCCAGAGAGGAGGCACTTCTCAAGTCTTCATTTAGCAGAGTCTTTAACTTCATTGTCAACACCTTCTGTGGGTCAACCGTGCACCTTCTGCATTCCAAGTACTATGCCAGACTGAAGGTCACCAGGGATGCTGCCCCCTCATTAAAGGATAAATAAGTTATAAATCAAAGATTCCCAGAACAACAGAAAGACTCCACCTTGACCAAACCACATGCCTGGTTACTGCTTCCTTTTCTGAGAGTTCATGTTCTGCTAGGTGCAAGGTAAGGGAGGGGCATATTAGTACGATAGCTCCATTATAAACGAAGGCAGCTAGGTGGCATAGTGTTGGACCTGGAGTCAGGAAGACCTGAGTTCAAATCCAGTAGCTGTGTGACCCTGGTCTGCCTCCCAGAGTTGTTATTAGGATAAAATGAGATATTTATAAAGTGTTTTATAAACCTTCAAATACTACATAAATACTATTTTTAGACTAGAATACAATAAAATAGCAATAAGTTGTTTTGATATTGTCAAATACAATTAAGTACCAGGCATCTAACACCATGTTTAGGTAGCAAAGAGTTTATAACAGATTGTTTCGTATCTTACTAAATATTATTTAGAACCATGATTTGCAATAATTTCTACGCCTCTCTGTACACCGCTGGTTTGGGTCAGTGACAGAATTCTCGTTTTCTTTTTTTTTTAAATTTTAAAAAAAATTTTATTAGTTTATTTTGATTTATCAACAATCACTTCCATATGCTTTTGAGTTTAAAATTTTTCTCCTCCTTCCTCCCTACCACCCTTCCCAAGACGGTGCACAATCTGATATAGACTTTACATTTACATTCCTATTAAACATATTTTCACATTAGTGAAGCTGTAAGTAAAAATTAAAACCAATAGGAGGAACCATCAGGAAGAGGAAACAAAACTCAACAGAAGGGAAAAAAAATGATACCGATTCAATTTCCATAGTCCTTTCTTTGGATGTGGACAGCATTTTCCATCCCAAGGCCTCTGGAGATGACTTAGATCCTTGTAATGCTGAGAAGGGTTCAGTTTAACAATCTTAGTCATTGCATAACATGGCTGTTATCATGTACGAAGTCCTCTTGGTTCTGCTCACTTCACTCAGCATCAGACCATACAAGGCTTTCCAGGTTTTTCTGAGGTCAACCTGCTCATCATTTCTTATAGCGCAATAGTATTCTATTGCCTTCATATACCACAACTTGCTCAGCCATTCTCCAATTGATGGGCATCCTCTCAATTTCCAAGAATTCTCATTTTCAACTCCCCTTTTGATTTCTCCCTTTACAAAGGTTTAACCTCCTTAAGGAGAGTAGCGGAGGTTTTAATTCATTTCTTCCTTTGTCCATTCATCTACCACCCTCTAAATCCTCAGTACTCAACTTTGAGCTTTCAGGGGATAGAAAGTTTCTTTACTCAACTTTATAATCTATATTTGGAGATACAGAATGGGAAAATGGGGATTGGTAGGGATTCTAGGACACATGGCATCTTTGCTTCTGTTCAAATCAAGCACTTGTGTGATTTGATCTGAAGTAGAAGGTGAATATGACCCCTACCACTGATATGAATAGGGCAAGTCCTTGGCTTTCTTAGGTGCTGTGCTACTATTCCCCTCCTTTGGACATTTATCCCTTAACAAGCAGGGCACCAGCTGTGAATCTTACAGATGTTGGTGACTCTGCTCTCCTCAAGTTAGAGCTGGCAGGGTCCTTGATAGCTGGTGTGGTTAACCGGCCTCAAGCGGAAGAACATATTGTGGTTGAGGTTACTTGGTCAGAAGACCCTGGCTCCAGAAGAAGGCGCCCACAACAACAGGTAATGAAGATGAGCTATATGAAAGTAATTGCTTGAGAAGATGCCGCATCTCTTTCAGGTTTGAACCACTTTATCACATTAAGTTTCATTTTTGAAAAGATTTGGTTGTGAATTTTATGGTAAGGACACCATCGGCCACCAAACAATTTGCATTGAGACCTTTTTCTTGTCTGGAAAATATATTTTTTTCTCCTGTTCTTTGTAAAGTGACTATACAACCCTTGATTCTATGTTGTTGTGAACAGACAGCTGTATGAGTTTTTCCCAAAGAATGAATTCATTGGGAAATTTAGAAGGATATTATAGGTTTTGTATTTCTTTGTGGTAGTGGTTTGTGTTGGAGGCACCTTGATTAGATTTTTCTTAAAGGTACTGAATGCATTCGTGTGCTGTAATTAAATTGTGCTTGTACACAATTGCATTACTGAGAAGGGCTTACATATTTTCCATTTGCTTATAGTTGCTTACATATTAGTATCTTAGTGCTTACAGAACGATTTGAGTTTATCTTCTTATGAAAAGCAAAGTGCAAGTCAGAAATGTATAGTAGCGGTTACTTTTGTATTATTATACAAGCTTAAAAAATACTTATAGATCATGTTTCTTAAATTATATTCCTTTCAGAGTAAGAATATTTTTGTATTCCATTTCTAACCTACCAGGATTTCTACAAGTCTATAATACTTTCAAAATTTATCTTATGTGTTTATATAAATATGTAAAACATAAACTATATATGATATGTAATACGTATTATACGTTGTAAAAGTTTCTACAGATCTTTTGCTCAACATTTGGTTTTGAATCAAGAAAAAGAATCCATACTCATTACTCAATTGACTGAAACTGTTGTTTGGCAAGAATTCTCAGGCATGTGTGCACTTTACCCATAATCACCTCTAGCCCCCTATTCCAAACACACTATGACATGCTATGGTATAATGTCTGTGCCCACTGGTGGTCTTCCATGAAATGGTAGCATGTTTCTTCAGATAGCTGACAGCAGGATGTCCAGTGATAGAGCTTGATCCAGAATTCTCTGTCATTGAGGAGTCTTTCTGACTTTTTGTCTGCTTGAGAACCCATGGCCAAAGTGAGGTGACAGACACAGTGGGATCGCTGAATATTCATAGTCTCTGAGGTTATTATGGATCAACAAAATTCAGAATAAGGCAGCATAGTGTAGTAGTGAAAAGTGAATAACATTTAGAGTCAGAGAGCCTGGGGTCAAATTTAATCTTGACTATCCCCTACTTGTGGGACCTTCGACAGATCATTTAACAATTTCCTCATCTTCAAAATAAGTAGATGTTAGATTAGATGACCTCTGAGGTCCCATTCTAAATCTATAAACTGATTAGCCATTAGTGTTTATAAACCTTTACATAATTTCAAGTACAAAAAAAAGCATTACAGAGTATTTTAATCCTTTTTCTTTGATGGGGTCTCTCAAATAAGGAGAAGAGGGCAGATTCTTGTGGTTGTGTTATAAACCAGTCAGTCAAAGAGTAAGATTATGTCAGTCAGGTTATAGGGCAGCTGGGTGGCACGGTGCATAGAGTGCTAGGTCTGGAGTCAGGAAGACCTCAGTCCAAATCTGGCCTTAGACACTGACTAGCTGTGTGATCCTGGGCAAGTCACTTAACCCTGTCTGCCTCACTTCCTCATCTGTAAAATGAGCTGGAGAAGGAAATGGCAACCCATTCCGGTATCTCTGCCACAGAAACCCCAGATGGGTTCATGAAGAGTTGGACATGACTGAAATGAGCATGTTAAAATGAAACTGAGACACCTTGTTGAAAGCATGCTTGACAACTCAGAGAGTGCTCTATGAAGGTTCTACAGCCTTCTGCACATTTAGGACGAAAGTCCATTACAAATGTGACTTTAGCCTACTCAGGCCCCATTGCATTATCAAAATTCTAATATGGCCACATAGCCATTTTGTATCATAGAAATTAAATGACTCCTACATTTGGTACTTATCTCTGATGGAAAGAAATAGTGGGAAGAGGGGTTCTTTGAGGTAAATGAATAAATAGGCAAGTCCCTGTTTAGCTTGTGGTGACTGAGGAATCTTTGTTTTGGAGGTAAATAGGAGTATTCATGATGAACTCTCCCTCAATTGAGTGAAACCTGCACATGTTTCGTTATCCTTTCATCCACCTTTTGTAAGATGCATACAATTGTAAGATGCTCATTCAAAAACATTTCCATATTCTTGCAATAAATCACACCCAACCTCGACCATAGTCTTAGAGTTGGGAGGGCCCTTAGAGGTCGTCTAGTTCAACTCCCTTAAAAATGAGGAAACTGATGCCCATGGGGTGATGTGACTTGCCCAGGGTCACGTTGGCAGAAGTAGGATTTGAATCCAGGTCCTTTGACTATACAATGCTGGACTCTTTCTACTTCACCACATTTTCTCCTAACTATAGGACTAGCTACGTGGAAGGGTCTTTCCTTCTTTTACTTAGTTAGTTTGCTTGTACCTACATACTATTATTCAGTCTATCATTGACCCTTGGTGAGTTTGGTGGTGCCAAGTTATTTATAAACATATTTGTAATGACTTACATAGGTTGCGGAAATAGTCACATAATCAACTATCCAGATAGTTCAAACTCATAAGAATGACACTTATGGCCCTGTAATTACCATTTGACTATGTGCAGTCCGGTGTTGATGAGGCTTCATAAGTATTTTTTTCTCTTCTCCAAAATTTTGCATAATAGTTTCCCTTTTCTGAAATAAAGATTCTTCATAAACCAAATAACTCTATAATATGTTTCACTGAAAGATGATTGTCAACTCTTTTTTAGGTCATCTATAACTGGACCATCTTTTTAAATTCTAGAAGAAATGAACGAGCTGTTACTTCAAGGACTTTTGAGACAATTACCAGGTTGGTTCTCAGATAAATGGGAATTTAGAAAAGCAAGAAGGAGCTATTGCATGCCAAATTGTGAGACAGAGAAGGGCATGAGTTCTAATCATAAATTGTCGTAGTCTCTGTTTAGCTAGGTGGCTCTGGGAAAATCACTTCCTCTCTCTATCTCCCTCTAAGTCCTACTCAAATGCTTTGTCCTGGTGGACATGACCTTGAGTTCTTGAAGGTTAAATCAACAGAGAACAAGCTCTGGTAGAACCTACCAGCCCTCCCCCAAAACTGGTGATATATGATGGTTAGATAAAGCATTTATTGTGTGCTTACTATGTTTCAGGCCCTCTGCTAAGTTCTGGGGATACAAATAAAATAGTCTATACTCTCAAGAAGCTTACATTCTACTAGAGGAAGGCGAAACACATGAGGGAAATGAAAGAAGTGGTAGGAAGGGGCTGAGAAGTTCAAAGAATGTGTGTCAGGCATGAGTGAAGTAAAGCATGACTGAGATCTTTCCTAAAATAGAGCTTTCAGAGGGAATCACCAATCAGGAGATCAGGACTTCAGAGTGGATGTTTTTCTAGGGGGCAAGACAACAGGTAAAGGGGAAGGAGGAGAAGTGATGATATATATCTATTATCTGAGGATTAGCCTAGTTAATTCAAAGAAGTCCATCTCCATTTTGTCCAGGAGGTGACAAAAACTTATCCACAGCAGCTCTTGGAGATTATTTACTAAGTCCTCCAGGCATTGTAATCTATGTTGCTGGGGGGGGGGGTACCCACCATGATGAAATCACAGATGACTGAAATATTAAAGTGTATAATATCTTTGTCATCATGGGATTTAATATACACCAATTACTAGAGGCTAGGGGGAAATCACCATTATGTATATGCTAATTATTATGATGAGTTGAATGCAAGAAATGAGTTTGAGGAAAATTATTTTCATCTATTTCAACATTCAGATTCCATTTTTATTCTGAACCTTCCTAATAAAAATGAGCCTATTTTGCTTTTGAGGAATTCTATGTTGTAAGAAATTTTGGAATGTTCCCTTATTATTTATTTTAAACTTTAGCTATTTCTTCCTTATATTTCTGCATATCTCCTCCTACCAGAGTTCATTTTAGAATCTCATCATCACATAATAGAATCAGGATCCCAAAAAGTTATTACTCAGCTGGAACTAGTTATTAACTAGTTGACTAAATCTAATAAGATGAAATTCAATGGGGACAAATGTAAAGTTTTACTTTTGGAAACAAAAAGTCAACTTCAAAATACAAGATAGGGAGACATAATAAAAACAGTATTTGTGAAAGAGACCTGGGGGCTTTTTAGTGGACTTCAAGCTCAATATGAATCACTAGTGTGATGAATTACCAAAAAGCTAATGTAATCATGAGCTGTGTGGAAAGATGCTTAATTTTCACGCTAGAGAGGTGATAATTATTTACTTTGATCTCATCAGATATCATCTGGAGTACTGTTTTTAGTTCTAGGCATAATGGTTTAAGGACATTGATAATTTCATTAGTGTCCAAAGTAGGGCAATCAGGATGGTAGGAGGGTCTTGAGTTCATGTCACATGAGGACAGTAGGGCATCTCTCCCAGTTGTAGGCACTGGACATATTTAGCCTAGAAAAAAGAATCAGAGAGGACCTAAGAGCTTCCAGAACCATCAGGTAGGTGGAAAGATTAAATTTATCCTATTGGAGCCTTGGAGGCAGAACCAGGGACAATAGATGAAAGTTTCAGAGGCAAATTTAGGTTTGATGTAAGGAGAAACTTGCTGCTGCACCAAAGTAGAACGTGCTACCTCAAAATTATTTCCCTTCCTTAGAGATCTTCAAGCAAAAGCTGGATGGCCACTTGTCAGGTGTGTAATTGTGAAGATTCCTTTTGTGTATGGGTTAGAATACAAGATCATTGAGGTCCTTTCCAACTTTCGAGCTATGTGATTCTGTGAGAATATTGATAAATATTTGGGTTTGGAAATATGTACTTTAGTATACAGCCAAGTCCTGATTATCCAAGGATTGTTGTTAACCATCGCGTACACCATCAAGAAGGCTAGGTAGAGGCCAAGGAACTAAAACCATTTTTCCCCTGGTGTACTGCATTTGGAGTCAGAAAACTTGGGTTTAAACCTTGGCTCTGCCGCTTATTACCTGTGTGATCTGGAGTAAACCATTTATTTCTCTGGATTGCAGTTACCTCATCTATGACGTAAAGGGGTTGGATTAGGTCTTCTAATTCTACATCTTGGGATCTTATGATTTCTTCTTTATTTCTGTTTTATTAGCAACCACTCATAAAAGGTATGACCCTAATGAGAAGTGTGCTTAGGAAAACAAGTGGAAACCAGTGGCTCAAATTAAGTTCAGGACTGTTATCGTTTAGTTGTTTTAGTTGTATCCAAACTCTTTGTGACCCCATTCGGGGTTTTCTTGGCAAAGATTCTGGAATAGTTTTGTCATTTTCTTCTCCAGCTCATTTTACAGATGAGGAAACTGAGGCAAACAGGATTAAGTGACTTGCTTAGGGTCACACAGCTAATAAGTGTCTGAGGTCAGATTTGAACTCAGAAAGCTGAGTCTTCCAACCCCAGGCCCAGTGCTGCATCCTCTGTGCCATCGTTATTTCCTATGAATAATTGAATTGATTATGGAATAATTTGGTGCTAGAGTGGAGTCAGAGAGGAAGCTAATTATGATGCTGGAGTACCTTTCCCTTTTACCAACTATATAACATCTGTTTCTTGCTGCAGAGAGACCATTTCAATAAATATTCGAGCCTTCCTCCAGAAAAACCAGGTGATTCCCCTTTCAATGGCTCATCAATACCTCCATGCAGACATAGAGACCCAAGTAACCATTGCATCAGTCATTTTGGTGGGAGTCTATTTGCTGATCATATTTGAGGTAATATGATATCTACTTTTATTGGTTTGTCTTTTCCCACAATATTTACTACCTAACTCTTGTGTGGAGGTTCACTATTTGTTAAGTAGGCTCTTATCAATTAGCATATTCTTCTATTAATGTGAGAAAACTGGTTTGAACTTGAATTGGCTTTTTGAACCCGGGAACCTTCATTTGTGAAAAAAAAAAGAATGTTTCAGTGTCATAAACATTTGTGTTGGAAGAATCCAGATAAACTCCATCTTTAATGTGTGTTTGTATTATTATCTCCATGAAGGGTTTGCTACACTATTAATGTGTTTTTTTTCCTATCAACTTAGATGAGTGTTTTCCCATAAGATCTTATCTTACCTCTTTATTGTTTAGAAAGCATATTAGATAGATGTATCACTTTACAATAAGAATAAAGAAAAAGTATTTTCTTTCTTAAAGTGTATAGTGTTTGAAAATTAGCTTGCATTTACTCTGCATGTATCTTGTAGATGCCTATTAAAGGAAGTGAGTATTTTTCTTTTTGCTTATATTTATATCCTCAGTGCTTAGCACAGTTCCTGGCACATAATAAGTGTTTAATAAATGTTTGTTGATTGATTGAACACTACATATCTATATACCATGGTAGAATATTTGTATCACTGAGCAGTCTAGAACACAAGTAAACAAAGTCATGAGAAGTAAATTTTGAAGAGTTTACTAGATGAAAAAAATATGAATGAAGGGCACAATTATAGGTGCGTGGAAGAATTTGGAGATAAATAGGGCATTGAGAACAGGAAAAAGGTATTTTTTTTTTAATTTCAAGAAATTTATCTGAGTTTAGTTTATATTATATTGAGAATTAATAGGAATCAATTTGCTTGTGACTTGTAGGGATTTGGGTGTGGATATATGAAAGCCTGAAATATTTTCTTGGGCTTGTTTTTAGTCCTTTATATTGGGCGGCTTAAAGTCATATGGGCACAACTGATCTACTTTTATTGGTTTGTCTTTTCCCACATTCCTCTCATTGTTTTTGGTGAGTTGGAGAACAGTGTCTTATTAAAGGGGAAAGAATGAATCAGTTAAAAGAAGATATGACACAAAATAGTATATAATTTTTCTTACTTAACATGAACAGCCTGAGTTCACTTTAGGGAAATATTCACTTATTTGGTTCACTGGATCTATTTAAATAAAACTGAAAAATTCAGAATCTGATACCCAGTAATGGTAGCACCAGCTTCCCTCATATACATAGGCTCTTAAGACTTCAAATATGCATTTTATTTACATAGTTTCAGATGTAGAAAGGACTTTCCCTTACTTATGAGCTTATGGAGAATCAAGAGAGTCCCAATCCCCGCTATAAATATAACAAGTGAAACAGATTAATACAACAATAAGCGCTTTGAGTCCCTTATGTATAGATACCAAGGGGAACAGAGAAATTAAATTAGACATAGTCCTTAATCTCAAGGACCTTTTAGTCCAGTAAAGGTATGTTTCCATTTAAGAGAGTTCACTTGCCAATAGCACAAGTCTGCTTCTGAGAAAAGCAATTGCTGAATTAAATCTTCACTGACAGTTTACTTCTCTGGGACATAGGTCTGCTCATACTTTTAAGAGAAGCAGTTATTGAAATTAAATCTAATTCAGAGTACTGAGACAACACTTGCTCTTTCAGTGTAGCAAGCTGTGGAATATTGGAGTAAATGCAGAACACGATATACTTTAGTGATTTAAATAAAAAGAATTAGAGAATTTTGAGGTTAATAAATGGGGAGATATGGACACCAGAATGGTTCTGAGACTAAAGGACGAATGTAATTTATATTATAATAGCCAGAAGATGAGAATTTGGTTGCTAATCACAAATTAAGTTAGGTTAATTTACAAAGGGGATAGAGTCTGATGAGAGAAGAGATGTACAGAAAGAAAGAGAGGAAAGGCTGTATTCTCTCTGCACCATTACTTGTTGCTAGGCTGATTGGTTGGCCAATGAGATCCTGGTCCCAAAGTTAGTGGACCTGAATTCAAATTCTGCCTTCAGTGCTTACTATCTTAAGTAAGTCACTTAAATTCCATAGGCCTTCATTTCATCGTCTATTAAATGAAGAGGTTAGACTAGAGGAGGTCTTTTTCAGCTCTAAATTTATGATCTGTGATTACTAACTTCATTATGTTAGTCGTCAGATCTATTAGGTCTGAAAGGGATATTAAAGGACATTTAGTCCAACCCTCTCATTTACAGATTGAAGTAATTGAAGCTCAGAGAGGCTGACTTGCCTAGTGGCCAGAGTAACAATCAACAAGGTAAAAAAGTAGAATTGCAAAAAGGATAAAGCAAAGTCCCAAAAGTCTCTCTTGCCTTCTTTTTTCTCATTTGCAACTGCATGGTTTTGTTATTCTTTTCTGTCCATTAAAAAAGAGGAACTCTTCTGTGCATCCAGACAAAACAGCTAACCCACAAAACCCAAACAACACTGCAGGGCGAAGGGCTTCCCACTGACAAGAATTCTGAAGTGATGGAAGCCTGAGGGCTGTTTGGGAGAACAAATGGAATTAGGAACACTTTATCTGACCATGACCATAAAGCCAGATTAGAGATGAGAACCAAAGTGTAAAAATACAACCCAGACCAGACAAGAAGGAACTTGGAATTCAGAGTTTAAATTGGATTTGTGGTGTAATGAATGGAGTAACTATTTTGCTGTCCATCCTGATCTAAGATGACAGACCTATGAAAAACCTGAATGGGACCTTTTTTATTTGATTTGATTTTTTGGTATAATCCCATTGAGCAAGGCTGCCATTTCTCTTATATTAAGTAATTATGTTCCAAAAGGACAAAAAAGCCTGTCAAAACCCCCCATAAAGTTCCTCATTCCTGTTGCTGATTATTCTTCGCAATCTCTCTGACTCTTCTAACCTTTTATACTGTGACCATAGAAATGTGAAATTGCCTGTGCTTTTCTTTCCAATTACCTTTCTGTAATGAAAGCTACTGCCATATTGGGGTGGGGGGGACTCTATTCAAGCAATAAAGTACTTTCAAGGCCTAAATAACCCTCCTTTTTGCATGTTTTAAAATGAAATATTTTCTCTGAAACTTAGAAGCCTCATTGTGGCACAGTGATCTTGCCGTGGTGCCCTGGGTTCTTAATAGACTATTCTCAAAAGACATAGGTGTCTGACAGGTCCTAATCAAGCCCTTCCATGCTTTAGTGATGGACTGACTGGGTATCAGTCTATCTACTTGCTTGCATTAAGTTAGTCACCAGAAGGTTTAATACCAAATGTGTGATTATTTTTGTCTATGGCAGCTCGTCAAACTGTCTATTACCGTGTGGAAGAATTGTCATCTGCATTAGTGGAGACAACAGCCATGTTGATGACATAGCAGATCTATTATGTTGATCAATAACAGATTAATTGCCATTTATATGGTGCTTGATTTATGTAGCTCTTTATTCCTAAGTACCTTATACTCAATTTCCTTCATGTATGAATATGTGTATATTCATCAGCAAATTTGCAAGGGACTGAACACATGATATCACCACTATTTTTCTAGCCTCTGGAATAATCTCTTTACATAGCCCCATGGGTTGTCATATATATCCTCAATTCAAATGAATTTAATGAAAAAAACATTTAAGTGTCCACTATGTGCTAAACATGTAGATACTGAAGATATAAAACGAAAAAGAAAACAGCCTCTGCCTTCAAGGTACTTGTATTTTGCTAGAGGAAAACAACAGCTATAATAATAAATTAACAAGCATGTTAAAAATGCCTGTCATGTGCTGTGTTTGGTGCTAAGTGTTGAGGATACAAGGACAAAAATGAAACAATAGTTACTGACTTCAAGGAGCTTATATTCTACCAAAAGGTAAATTATGGGTGTGTGTGTATATGTGTGTGTGTGTGTATACACACACACAATACATATATAGATACATATATGTATATACATATATGTACCTATATATACATACATATTTATGTGTGACTTGCTAATTAATTTATGAAATTGTGAAATGGGGATAGGCATACCCAGTTCTTTGGGGACTTATTGAGAAAGATTAGGATGGCAGTGGGAAGTAAGGCTAGAATCACACTTTAATAATTCACAGAGGGTACAGGGGTGAACACAGAAAGTATGGAGATAAGCCGTGCAAAGAGGTAAATGGCTGGGTATGGGGACAGGGATGGAGTGGTAGGTGCAGGCAACATGGGGAAAAGAATGGGCAGGGGGAAATCATTTATATAACTGTGGTTCAGTATTGGAGACACTCAAGCAGCATGGACCCTTAGGACATGGAATAGTACCTGAATGTCAAGAGTTTGAAGTCTTACTTTTACGGGGTTTTTTGTTGGGGACAGACTAACTCCTATCCGTGTCACCTTGGGGTTAGTTCTTTAACATCCAAATCATCTCAAAGTCATCAGTAAAATTTTAAAATTCCCATGTCCACATCCCCTCAAATTTATCAGCTCTTTTTGTTGTTTTGCTGGTCTTACTGTTGATGTCTGGAACTTACTGTAAGACCCAAAGGCCCTGATAGCAAGTCCTTTATGGCTTACTCTGATTCAGTGCACAGTCTCAGGATGTGATTTTGGCTTACTATATGATGCAGTTTGCAAATTCTGTTCCTTTGATTTGTGAGACAATCTGAACATGACTTCTAGATTCCCATTTACAGTCTTACTTCCTGCTATTGTTACTGGCTACTTTTAAACACATATACTGTCTAGGAGCAGGGGTGGTGGTGGTGGCGGTGGCCAGGGGGACCAGAACAAGATACAGTTTTAACATGTGCACACATATGTAATAAATAAACACACACACATATATATATGTCTATACATATGTAATTTTGATGATATGTAGAGCATTAGCTGGAGGCATCAGGTGTCTTGTAGGAGGTAGCATTTGAACTGAACCTTGATATCTTTTCCCTTTCTATCATCTACTGAATTATGAGAAAATACTGTCCAATATTTTGACTTCCAAAGCT